GAAAGCTGACAAGACAAGTGCTTCCATTTAAATCAGTTAGCATTTGCATCAAGTCGCTGGGAAGAAGCTCTGATTATCCCAGCTTCTTGTTAGGAGACGTATTGACGCTGAAGAGTGCAGACATAATAGTATGGGTGTACGTACCAAAATACGACACCCCGGGGCGCTTGCACAGGCTGTCTAGGTGTAGTCAACATCATATTTAGTGGGCTGGGACAGGCTGTGGGGCGAGAAACGGGGCAGCCATTCTCTAATGATCAAAATAACACTTTGTCAATGTAATAGCCCACTGTTCTTCATTCTTTACACCCCTCTGACAGAACATTTCTCATAGCTTTGTTTACACCAGTGCTACTGCCCTTGTGGTCAGCGGGGACTTATATAAAAATGTTGCCCCATAAACCATGATTATTTTCATTGCAACTGATGTGCCGCAATCACTTAGCAAACTCCCTCCGCAAACAAGCGTCTTGAGGAAGACGTATAGGCCTGCAACTTTGATTCAGCCATCAGTGACAATGCGAGGCTTTGTTTATGAAGACGGGGAGCAACAGATGGCAAGCATATCTATAAATAAGTCGCTCTTCTGAATAGGAGATTAGTGCATTTGAGCCGGTTTTTAATGGTCTCTAGGAGAGATTAAAAAGTAAGCTGATTCATAATGCGTTTCTCTTTGCGGTGAATCACTCATAAACAAGAGTCTGAGAAGAATCGGAGGAGGAAAAAAAAAAACAAATCTCCAACATGCTTAAGACGGGAAGCTAGACGACGACACATGCTCTCTCTGCGTGGCTGCAGTTTGTTAGCAGGAATTATTAATGATGCGTGTTACAAATGAAAACTTTCCCCCTGCGCACTAGATCACTACAGACCCTTCAACCCTGCAGACCTCGCCACATTTCAACCCATTTATTTTCAATGCACACTATAAATACATATTTAAAAAAAAATCTGCATTAATGCCAGGAGCGTTTATTCCAGAGCACAAATCAAGCTACAGAAGCAAAATAAGCACTCGCACATTCCAAAGTTCGTGGAGGATATAAACGTTGATAAATATACAAAAAAGAAAAAAAAAAAACCCATCTTGGTTTTAGCCTCTGGGTCACATTTTCTCCAAGTTATTGAAATAGAATGGAGAAGAAAAAAAATTCTCAATTATATAACCAGTGCTGATCAGCCTACAGATAGCCGCCCACCTGAGGCTACCTCGGCATCCTCCACAAATATTGACAGAATTCTTATCTTCTTTTCCACATTTTTTCCAACAAATGTGAAGCTCGTGTACAAATCCTGTTTCCCTCCCATCTGTTACACACCCGGAATTTCTCACAAAGACACTTTTGCATTCATTGTATGTTTTCCAGGAACTGCGAGGGGCTCAGGATGTCTGATAAAGTGGATTTGTGGCTCTATCAGTAGATATCTGCTGCCCGGATAAACTCCATATCTGTCTCTTAATGATGCTGGTGTCATTGTCTGTTCTCTGCTACACAAAATGGAGACTCACCAAGTTTGGCTGTGGTAATGACCGGGGCTTTATGTGGCTGTTTTCTAAACAACGCGGTGTTCTTCTTTAATGAATTCATAAACACGCCCAGGAGAAAAGAATGCTTGACCTATGAGAAGGTGAATGGATTTCCTGAGAACTATTGACAGGTTGTCCTAACAAGTAAAAGCAACCTAAGGAGTCATGCACTAATCAATTGCTTAAATGAGTAAAGAGGACAATTATGTCGCCTCCCGAGATGCTCCTGTAACTGTATGAACCCGTGTGACACATATGCTGCCGTTAACATACATCATATGAACATCAAAGCCTCTTTCAGACCGTATAAAGCAATTACTTGCATGATGACCCCGAAGCACACTGAGCGTCTCTGTCATATGCACCAAGTGCATCTCTAATGATCTATTTTCATATACGTGTCTGCTGGCTGGATCAGAGGTCATTCGTGTGCTCACACCTCTCATTCTATTTCTAATGTAATTATATGTGAGAAAGCTCTGAAAATAAAAATATTTGCACATTAGATTTTGCCCTATAGCCACATCTGTGCAGTGACTCACTGTGTGTCTCTTACTCATCAAGGTGTTTATAGATATTAGAGTTCATGCTATTTTTTTTTATTCCTCATGGCAGCATAGCCTTTCAGCCACCGTCATTTCTGTATCGTATATGTTTAACTAATTTTAGCTCAGGGGCCACAAGCAGCCCAATTTGATCCCAAGTGGGCCAGAGCAGTAAAATCACAGCATGATAACCTATAAATAACAAAAACTCCAGATTTTCCCCTTTGTTTTAGTGCAAAAAAAGTACATTCTGAAAATCTTTTTTACAAAACATTAGGAACATCCTGAAATTTCTTAAGAAAAATAAAAATTTCAACAATATTATGCCCCCAGTTTATCATTTGCACATGTGCGTTACAGATTCCACATCGCAGTGTGTCTGCAAAGGCACAAAACAATTAGTCACAGGTATCTGGACTTGAACAATATAATATTTTAGATTTAGAAATTATTTGACATTTACATTCATTTCCACATCTGTGCAGTAAGCCTACCACCTGAACGGCCACAACATGCAAACTGAAATGGGAACTATGAAGGAACACTTTGCAAAGTCATCCCGTGGGCCTGATTGGACCCTCTGGTGGACCGGTTTTGACCCACAAGCTGTATGTTTGACACCCTTGGTATATAGTATTTGTTTAATTCAGCTCTGTAGGAATGAGAAAATATATATTTATAATTATTAAAGCAATTCCTGTTGAGAGCTGTCATATTTTCAGGGTATATATTGTCAAATAGGTTTAATAACGAGTGGCACATCTACTAATATATCACAATTTGATTTTCCTGGTTTTTCATAGCAACGATTACAAAGATTAGTTACATTTAATTTAATATTTTACGACTTAAGAATGGCTTGTTTATGGTTTTTAATGTTTTAACTCTTAAGCTGCTAAACTGATTACCACCCCGGCAAAGCCTCCTAAACCCTCTGCCCACCACCCGTTGCCCCAGAAAACAAAAGACTATAACAAAGAAAAGGAGGAAATGCAGCATGATCCTGCAGGATTACCTGATGTTGTCTCTTGGTGGAGCCTTGCATTAAAATGCAGTTCTATTACCTCTGTTAGTTTAGTTTTCATGCTGCACAAATATCTGTTTCCTCAGGTAGTGTTAGTTTCTGTGTCTTCATGAGAAATCAATTAAAGGTGTTAAAAACTCTCGTGTTAATCACATTTTTTTTCGATGGGTGTAGATTCAGTTTGAACACTTGAAGGGACACATTGAGTAGAGGACCAGGACATTTTTTAATATATCACCTGCTTCCTGGTGAATTTTCATAAACCAATGTGTGTCTTTCCTGCATTCATTTACGGTGAAAATGTCTTTATCTATGCAAAGAAAAACACAAAAGTCAGGCACGACTGACCCGTCCCCTGCATCCCCTGCTGAAATCTACATCCATGCATTTATCACATCTGTTGGTGACTGCTCCTCTGTTCATTATGCTGCTCACTGCTGGAACCAGCTCCCTTTGGAACTTAGACTTGCCCCAAATGCAGCCGTTTTTAAGAGTACGCTGATGACAGCTCTTTCCCCCCACTGCATTTAAATAATCAGCTTTATTTATAAAGTCTGATCCGAACCGGCTGCACTTTTATTAAACGTGTCTGCACTTGTGTTCACTTAGTTTGAATTTATTTTAGTTCTATGTCATCGCACACATTGTGTCTGTAAAGATTCATCCAGGTCACGGTTGTTCTCGTAGTTTAATCGTAGCAACTGCTTGAGTTTCTTGAAGACGTTTCAGCTCTCATCCAAGAGGCTTCATCAGGTCTGACTGACCAGTTGGGAGTTCCAGATGCTGGAGTTTTGGTTTCAGCAGGGGGTTTGTTGCTCCTCCCCCTCGTTATGCAAGTCGTTAGGATTCCCCCTGTCACAGTGGGGTTCGTGAGGGTCTTCTGTGGCTATAGGTGTGAATGTGGTTATATTTTACCTGCGTTCATTTTATCTTTTGTCTTGCTGCAAGGTGGGTCAGTGGTTAGCAGCGTCGCCTCGCAGCTACGATGGTTCGCATCCCATTTTTGACACCTGGGATCTTTCTGCATGGAGTTTGCATGTTCTCCCCGTGCAGCGTGGGTGAGGATTAAGCTGTGTGTAGATAATGGATGGATGAATGGATTTTTTTGTGTCAGTTTGGGGGTATTGTAGAAAATATGTGTGCACTATATCATGTTATACCTTTTACATCTTTTGCATCTCCACCATGATGAATGAGATGCTGTACTATTAAACTTGCTTGCTGTTCCTGTGTGTGCAAGTTTTGGAGAACAGTGCTGAAATGCTGCAGAAATCTTCTAACTTTTTTTTTTTTTTATGCACATATTTGCAAAGTCTCACTGTGTTTTGTATGTTGAGATGAAAAGCGGCATGCAGTGAGCTGAGCAGCCTGAGGTGTGTGTGTGTGTGTGTGTGTGTGGTGGCTCTATGATAATGAGATGCTAATGGCGGGACTCAGCACCGCGGACAGCTCCTGTGCATCGCTCCGCCCACTCCTCCCCCCCCTCCTCTCCACCCTCCATCGGAGGCTGCGCTCGGCGACCAATCGCGGGCCGCGGCTCGGTTTGCGCTGCGGAGCGAACAGAGGGATGTTCAAAGAGGCAGCAGCCCAGAGAGGAAGAGCGAGCGGTTCGGTGGGGCTGTGATGCTTTGCGTGGCTCTGCGGGCTGAACAGCAGTGTGATGGGATAAAACCTGCCGCGCTCATTTAACCGCTCACTCTGCGTCCGTGTGCGCGCGCGCCTCTCTCTCTCTCTCTCTGTGTGTGTGTGTCCGCGAGCCCCGAGAAATGCTGTTGCAGCTCGAGCGCGCATGACAAATTTTTTTATAAGCTTCACAGAAAAAAAAAAAATCTTCCAACTTGGAGCCGTGAGAGTAAGTTTTTCTTCTATTTTTCTATTCTTTTTTTTTTTTTTTTTTTTTTTGAATAACACTTGGGTCGTTCACTTGGAGCCCAAAAGCTCAGGACGACATGGAGAGCGAAAAGTACTTGCCGGAGCTTATGGCAGAGAAGGACACGCTGGATCCGTCTTTTCAGCACTCCCTGCGGCTACTGGATCAAGGTAAAAAAAAAAAAACTGTCCGTGGTTAAATAGTGGAGTAAACAGTTTAGCTGTGTGGAAACTGTTGGAAGTGTTTATCACAGTGTTCAGGTTTAACGCTTGGTGTTGGGCTGCAGGCTACATGACACCAGCAGCCCGCCTACTTCCAGTTATAAATAAGGAGGTTTGTGGGTCTACTTACAATTTCCTGTTTGGTCGCACTAAAATAGCGAGGTCCTTTTAGCATCAGGGCTGGTATTTATTTATTTATTTTTTTTTTGCCAAGTTCTTAAGTAGAAAATTGCCTCATCCAGCCCTGCTGTAGAGTAGAAATAAAACAGGGCAGCTTAGACTGAAGACTGCACCAAGAGCTTCACAACTTTTCATGTAAATTGGACAAAGACTGACAGCAAATGTGAAATCCGTACTGGTTCCACCTCTTAATTAGGATTTCATTGCTGACAAAATACTAATGAGGGTAAGTGATGACCAAGTAAATATTTCAACATTAAAACCCTCCTCTTGTTTTGTTGTTGGATGGCATAAAAGGAAATCACAGCCCACAGTTTCTGAATGGAAGTCTCTGTGAAGCACTAACACCACTCTGACATCCCAGGCTGCAGCCGTCTCCATCCCGCGCAGACGTGTAATCTGTGGTGCAAGTGTTGGAATAATCGCACTCTTATTCAAATGTACATGTGTTTCCTCACTTTGAAGAAATGGACGTGACTGAAATGGAATTACTAAATGGATGGAGCAGCAGCAGAAGCGGCGGCGGTGGCAGCAGCAGCGCTCGCAGACGGTTTAATTAATCCGTTGCACAGCCTTCTGCTTTGAAGCTGTCGGAATTTTGCAAACACTCCTTGAGACGCAGCCCTGTACGGCTCTTCATGTGGGAAGTGCACTGTTACGGCATCCAAGTGCATCCTTCAAGTACCACTCATGGGCTTTGTGGAGAGTCTAGCAGGCTGTTGTTGGCTTTAAAGGCAGCAGACAGGGAGCACTAGTCTGTAAACAGTCTTACTGCACTGTAACTAATTCTATTGAATATACCCATATGCAGCTCCTGTACCAGGTTTATTCTGACAGCTGTGTCTCTTTTAGTTTCAAACGTGGGACCTTGAGGGGTCCTTAAAAAGATCTCCAGCAAAGTGATCTATACTTTTGATGTTGTTTATTTGCCAGAGTTTACCAAATCTGAATGACTTGAGAGTTATTCTGTCACCTCCTGACTCCTCAGTGTTCACTTACTCTAGGGCGAATGATTATTATCATTATTCTGCTGAGTCAATTAGGTTGGATTAAAAACTGTCAGAAGAATGCAAAAAGCCCCCTCCTGCAATTTCTTGAAGCTAAAGGTGACATTTGCCCTCTTTAGTCTGAGTCCAGAATTCAAAACTAGACATTTGACAATTATGTAAATAAAAGACAAGCAGCAAATCCTAGAATTTGCAAAGCTTGCAAACACTTGACTTGATTGACTTGTGGATTGATCAGCGAATTCAGCTGTTCTCTATCAAGTTATTACAAATGCAAAGATCGTCCTTTCTTCATATAATTCAGTCATTTTTAACTCTTTTTTTGGGGGTGGGGTGGAAAGAGCTCGTGTCCTCAGATAGCTTACTGACAAAAAAAAATAAATCATTACTTTGAAAACGTGGCAGATTTTTCACTGCAGGGAAGAGAATGAAACATGTACGAGTGAAATTCTAACTGTCATATAGATTATGATCAACTTTTTATGTAGTGACATGTAAAATGAAATGGTTCCAGACTTATAGACGTTCTGTCTTCTGTTCAGTCAGTGCATGTTAGTGTAATGGATGTAATGGCCCCGGCCATATCACTTGCAAAGTGTAGTCTTGTTTGAAAGAGCAGACTTGGCTTAATGCGTGTTTCAGCGAAGCAGCTGCCGTACAGTAAGGTAAATTCATTTCACTCTGGGAGGCAGATAAGGCCGTGTTTTACTCAGCACTTTTTTTGTTATCAGCAGCTTTCGTTATTCAAATCTGGGTTAGATTTTTTTTCTTCTAAGAACACGCGTTCCCCTCACTGATAGAGTGAGGAGGCCGGAGCACTGAATACTTAATGCCATTTAAAAGACACTTACCAGCCACTTTCTTGACAGTAACGTCTTTAATCCACATGGCAGGTCCTGTGTGGAGTTATAGCAAATATTGGCTATTTTCCCCACAATGGAATAAAAAATGATGGAATACGTATAGAATGAGGCAGGACAAGCCAAAAAAAACACTGTGGAGTAAATGTTTCCCCCCTGTGTTGTGCGTTTTACCTAACACAAGTTCTTCATATTGCGCTTCCAATAAAGTTAGTTTGTGATATTTCTAGTGGGGGCAAAGATTGCAGTTGGACACCAGCGCGGTGGCAGAATTAATCCGTGACATTTTATAAAGTAAGCAGAACTCTGCGGTGCACAAAATTTGGCCGAAACAGTCTGCCACAACTCCAAAACTGTAAATACTGTTATCTCTCTCTTACACAACAGATGGAACACGATGCAGCTTAATAGAGCACTTCTTCTGCCATCTTGCTGATGAGTTCTGGACTTGATTATGTAATTGGCAGGGGATGCAGGGAACAGAGCCGGAGTAACTAGAGTTACTGCGTGCAAACGGCAAATATGAGATTACTCCGGGTCTGGAGAGACTTCCATTCAGGAAAAATTAGGGGGGCATTGTGTTGGGAGCTCGGGGACAGGGCGGGCTGCTTTGATAAGTTTGGGCCATTCGCAGAGCTCTTCTCCCACAAGGACCATATCTCTGCCCCTGTGACAAGCCTCATACAGTCAGCAGCAGCAGCAGCAGCAGCAGCAGCCACTTGGAGCTGGAGGAATAGCTTAAGCCAAAATAAGAGACTAGCAGGACCAGCAGTCTACATGGAATAAAAAATCCTCAGCAGCATACTAATGAAGGGCTTGCACATATGAAAACACCCCATGTGGCATGAAGTACATCTGTTATTTACGGGAAATCAGTGCTACCTCTGTGGAAGCATGCAAATAACACTTCATTTTAATGTGGCTTTAACTGTTGCTGTGGGTGTGAAAGTTCATTCTTAACCTTGGAAAAAGCAGAATTATACAAATTCTTACTTTTCTCTCATGAGGGGAAAAAAAAAAAACACTGAATATTCAATCTCATCCACTGCATGCCTTGTTCTCCTCCGTGAACAAGGATATTGTTGTTATCTACAGTAACGGGAAATGCCACGCGAGCTAGTCATGACACCGATGGATCTGAAAAAATAATGTGGGGGAAAAATAGTGGATGAAGGCAAAGGCTGTTTGCTGACTTTGTAAAATGCAACCGCCTTAAGCCGTGTCTACACAGCAGGCGTAGCGTGCAGCGTTGTGTTAGCAGCAGCAGCAGCAGCAGCTCTGGTGCTCTGTGTGCGTCTCAACAGGATGTGTTCAGGGACAGTATTCAGCAGTAGATCACCTGCTATTTAGAAGTGCCCAGACGTCACACAGCCGCTGTAGTAGTTCATATAAAACACACTTGAAATGTAAAAACACACTTTGGGTTTTATTCATGTTAGAAAATGTAAACCTGCACATCAGAAGCACGTGAGACATGGACAACTGAAAACTTTGTTGACATACTCTTACAGTAATATTAGCATATGAACAATAATAATTCCACAACATATTGTCATAGTAGGTTACATGGATTGTGTTAAACTATCAGGATAAATGTTGTGCTATTTTCAAACTAGATTCTCCTGAATGATAGTTAAGTATATTTTTTTGACCATTTTTTTGGATCAGTTTCCTGTTTAACATTTCTTCTTCTAATGATTTGTGTTTGGCCGAACAGCTTACAATCCTAAAATGTTTTATTTAAAATGATATAAAAGATAGAAAAACATGAATCATAAATGGCTTAAACCGATCAATGATTGTTAAAGATGGAAAGATTTTCTTCCAGTAAAAAAAAAACAAGCATCTGCATTCTTCCTGCAAAGTGCAAACTTTTAAAATGTATGTTTTTGATTCCAGGTTGATAAACTGCAGGCAAACCACCCAAGGTGATAAACATCTCAGAATAATCAAGGAATATGCAGTGAAAACAAAACAAAACAAGCAAAATGCAATCCCAAACAGAAGTAGTGCTTACACAAGACCAGGCTAAATTTATCAAGCATATGAAAAACACACTGAAAATATCCAGAATACTAATTATGATAATGTAAATGAAAGGAAGCATAAAAATAACAAATGACAAATATCATTACAGGCATGTTGTAAGTATTTGATAGTATATGGACTATTTTTTTTAATGTGTTTACATTTTGGATTCTTGGAGCCAGTGTGTTCCTGCTTCTATGTTTATCTCCAGTAGTGTTTCTAATCCATGTAACACGCTTATATTGTGCTGCGTCTGATTACATTTTCTCTGTTAGCTAATTAAGTAAATGATTCAGCTTCAGACCCAAGTGTTAAACTGTGTGACAAAAAGCTCGCGACTCACTTGCATCCGAGCTCAGGATTTGTTTGATATTGCAGCTTTGATGTATATTATCTGCTAGTTTCACCGTCATAATTATGGATCATTAAATAGTAAATATATGAATGTTGTGTAGATGAAAGTATAATGAATCTTGTTGCCTTTTCTACAGTTGAAAACAATACCGAGTTAAAAATGTAAAACTCGTCTCCTTGCGTCAGGCGTATTCTCTTTGTTCAGGATGTGGATGCAGAGCAGTGTGCAGCCCTCTCTCAATGTTTCAGGACCTCTGGCCCACTTTGGACACTGTAACCCCAGTCCTGCACATAAGCTCCACATCTAAAACATTTTAATTGGATATTCCACAGCAGGAGCCCGGCACAATGTTTGCATTACATTAACAGCCTCAGCCGGCTCGCCCGCAAACAAAAACAACACCTAAATAAGTAAATAAATAAATAAGTGATACAATATCTGCACAAAGTAAGCAGGTGTGGGAAAGTAACCTCGTGTCAGACGCGATGCCACGTTTCTATCTCATCAACACAACAGAAG